CCTATTCGTTTTCACCTTACTTACTTTAATGTAACATATACCTAGTGTAACAGGTACGTTTTTTAACCATGATTCAAAACTGTCATGCTAAAATATTCCGAGGATGTTTGCATGTCGCGGAAACAGGTGACACAGTAAGTTTGTCTCGCGTCTTTTATTTTCGTGGGAGGAAAAAGAAAGACGAGCATATTAAAATATTTAAAACACCTCTAGGCCTTTTAAAAATAGCTAGTGTTAAACTGTTGTATCCAGACGAAAGGAACCGGTAGCAGGAACGGGGAGAAAGGTTTTAAAACTCAATTACAGGCCATCAGTTAAACAACCCCTTAAATCCTTAAATTTGGGCAAAAGCATAGGGGGCGGGGTGAGATAATGTAACAAAAGGTTAAATGCTAGTTGGGTAAAACTTTCCGTGCAAATAGATAGCATGTTTTGAACTAGAAAGCTCTATTTAGTCGCTTATCTGGCACAAATATCCACAACACCGGCCACAATAGGCTTAGAGACGGGTTTTCACGTAAAACCGGGATGAGCCAGAGAGATTAGAGAAAAAGGGAATATTTCCGAGACTTTTCTATTTAGTTTGCAATAATGATAAATGTTTATAGAAGATATGAATGTAATTATGACATCCTTCTTTAATTCACACCTTTATGATCATACAATGAACCTTATCAAGTTTGAGCCACTGGGTCACTTTGGAAAATAAAGATATTTTGGAATATATAAATTTCCTGATTTAAATAAGCGTAGCACCATTAAATAACTTTTAGAGCTATCAGGTTACATTCTTTTCCGTATTTGCTCTGAGCCCTTAAAAGGACATGAGGATCTTAACGTCCGTACCTAGCCTTTCAGCCCTACCGGACGTTTTGATTCTCAAGATGAGAGATGGCGCACCTCCGCTCGCGACTGGACGCGTGCTTTAAGCTTTGTGCCGGCGTAAAGGGATACTTAAAAAGGGGTCGAAATGCATCGACCAAGTCTCCCACCTAGATAGAGAAGGCGACTCTATCTTACAGTGAATTGGGGCTCCTCCAGCTTAAGAACTTCCGGATCCACTCCGACCGTGGTTTTGTTTAAAGTGGATTGGCTAACCATCCATAGAGAAACAAAGCCCTCGGAAGGAAACCGCGAACGGTACCTCCGAGCAACAGGTTCACACTAAGTTCTCGCCAGGAGCATCGCCACTAAGCCACTACGAGTCCATTCCCATGTAGCCGGGTTTGAACTGAGAACATTTTCTGCTACCCAGTAGTTCAGATGGTTATGCACCCTCCACCTTCTAAACATACAGGATCTGGTACTCTAACCCTCGTGTGCCTCTGATAAAACACCCGCCGTCCGCTGCCGATCTGGAGGCCGACACGAAACCAGCTTGTGCTCCACGCTCTCAAGGCTACATCATTATGTTGCGCCTAGACTCCCCCCCTTGTATCCAAGGGTTGGGGGAGGTCTCAAGGAAGTATGCCGTAGAACCTGGATTGAGAAAGGGAAGTGAAGAGGACACGAGACTCACCTTTTCAGGTTGTACCCCCGTCTTGGCCACACTGTACCACCCATTGTCACCGTAGTCCCACAGTTAATGGGTTATGGCTCCTCTGGGTGGATAGAAGAGATGAGATGGCCGTTCAAGCGCCGAACGAACCGACCGCCATCCCGACCAGTCATCTCGAGGGACAAATCCGAGGCTCTTCGGCGGATTTAATAGGTAGACCAGGATGATCAAGTAGGACAAGACTACTGTCTCATCTTCCCGCAGACTTCAACAATAAATCTGACAACTAATTAGTTGTCTACTACTAATCGTTTATTTACGTTATAAGGTTTTTAGTTGAGATAAAAAAGTCAGTGTCACGAGCGGGATCCACTCGGACACTAACTTACCATCTCAACCTCACCTTTTTGAATTTTCCCTCCTTTTGCCATTTTTCACCGCGGACGTGGGTTCGATTCTCACCGCTACATCTAGAATTTCTAACCCATAAGCAACGATAAAAAGTTGACTTGGCACTCTTCAATGCCAACGAATAACCCTGGTGGTTCAGCGAATGAATCAAGCCCCACAATACCACTTTGTAGTAGGTGCAATAATCGAAGAAATGAGTGGACAATAATCTTCTATTTTAACGGTAATTTCCTCGTGAAGAGTGATGTTGGCGACGAAATAAGGAGCATTGACTATGGTTCGAAGAATTTTGGATTGGACGTTCTTTGGATGTTGGAAGGTTTAGCGGTTCCACGGAGTTCTAATCGGTACATCCAGATTGATTTTAGTAATGTCTTGTGCATAGTTAGTTTAGTTTATGTTGAAACGTTAGATTTGCGTGCCAGTCTGGAGAGAGTCCGAAACGAAACTCCAGTCTAGTCTTGAGCTAGACTCTGGGAAATATTGTATTATGTGATGGGTTTTGCTTCAAGGGGTAAATGATGCACGGGCTGCCTTTACGCGCTAATAACTTTTTGTAACATATACAATTTTTTTGTAATATGTATAACTATTTTCGTAACAAGACAGCTCACCCCCTTTATTTCGAAAACGATTAACATTCGCAAAAAATGGTTTTATACAAACCCCAAGTTAATTTTGGCGAGAAAATGCGTGGTAACAGATTTAACATACCTTTCTCATCTAGCTGAGAAATGACACTAACTTTGTTATTTTAAATAAGAAGCCCATATTATTAGTGTAAAATTAGATTCTAGAGCTTATTTTATGCCACTTTTACTGAAAGTAAAATTTTCATAGGATCGAACATTTCTGAATTATACCCGACGGACGACGCTGAGGGTGGTATGCTTTTTGTAATAAGATGGCCTTCCACGTTTTAGATTAAAAAATGTATATACAATTTTTTTTCGAGGACTTAAAGTCTCGTCTGATGAGGCTTGAACGTTGAACGTTGAATACACTCATCAGGCTTGAATACGTTGTATTCATAATTAATTATATAATAAGATTTTAAGTTCTAAAAAAAAGATTATTTTTCATTCATTTCATTCATTCCTACGCATTTGCAAAGAAGCAGAATATTAAAACGCGTTAATGAACTATATAAAATACAAAAATGAATAAAATGCACATCAACAATAATGCCCTGAAATAACCAAAAGCTCTTCCATAGATCTGAGACGCCCATTAATTCCGCTCTCTCACTTTTAATGTCAATTTTTTTAAGGATTTAGGTTAATTTTTTTATGTTTTCTCTAAGCAGATAGACAATACCTCAACTACAACCCAAGCAAAATCATTACTTTTACCTGAGTTATGTTTTTAAAGGTTGCAAAAGGTGTTATTTTTATGAGACAGATTATGTAACTTGGGCCTTCTAGTGGGAAAGACCAGTTTGAAAGGCAAACGTCCAAATGTCTAGCTAATAAGAAACATCACATATATAAAAGCACAGTGTTCAGAAAATGAATTGTAAGACTATTACGAGTGTAAGTGGAATAAAGTGATATTTTGAAAAAAAAGTCCGCCGATCGTACATTCGTCACTGGCTCGATATTTGTCAAAAACAGGCTCGTCAATGTATTTTTCTCCTTCGATCTCCATTTCACAAATGCTTGCAATTAAACGTTCCGACAGATCCGGAGGGCGGAAACGGTCGAAAGTACAACATTGCCCCGAAGGGCGAGCCGACAAATCACAACCAGTTTGTCCAATTGATAGAGTACATCGCTCCTAATCGAACCCCCCATAGCTGGACATCAAATCAATTACCGGCACGTCCCATGTACAATAAACTCGACCACGAATAAGTCAAGGTCAAAAATAAACGAGTCTCACCTTCCTTTATTTGGTCAAAAATATTCAAGTTTATACAAGTTAATAGCAATTGAATAATTATATACTCTATTGTCTAAAACAATCAAAACTAATTAACCAAGGCGGTAAAATAAGGAAGGAATAATTTGGCTTTTTAGTGTGCTTTTTTGTCAGCTAACTATTCCATGATATGGAAACTATAAGCAGTAATAGGAACTAATTATCTCTCTATCACTCACTCTCTCTCTCTCTTACGCTCCCACTCACTCTTCACTTTCTCTTCTTCTCTCTTACACTCTCTCTCTCTCTCTCTCTCACTTTCTTCACTTTCTCTTCCTCTCTCTCACACTCTCTCACTTTCTCACTTTCCTCTGTCTAACTCCCTTTCTTTCTCTCTTACTCACGTCTCTCTTTCTTATTCTCTCAATTTTTCTTTCTCACCCAAAACCATTTGCTGTATCTCTCTTTATCTTTTTATTTCGCTCTCCTTCTCCCTTTAACTCTCTCTTATTTACTCTCCCACTCACTCTGTTCACTTTCTCTTCCTCTCTCTCACTCTTTCTCTCACTTCCCTTTGTCTCCCTTTCTTTCTCTCTTACTCACATTCCCATTTTTTATTCTCTCACTTTTTCTCTCTCACCCCATATCATTTGCTGTATACCTCCTTATCTTTTTATTTCGCTCTCCCTCTCTTTCTCACCCTCTCTCTTTCTCTCCCTCCCTCTTTCTCACTCTCTCTCTGCCATTTACTTACTCACTTTTCTTATTCTCTCACTTTCTCTTTCTCTCTCATTTTCTCTCCCTCTCACTTCCTCTGTCTCACTTTTTTTACATCGAAACTAAAAGCAGTATTAAGAACAATTGCATGTACGTAGCTCAAAAAAAAATCTCTTCCTAAAGAACAATATAACACTGACATAAAATGATTTAACGTTTATTTTTAAAGACAAGGCGAAACAATTAGAACCACCACAATGTGGAACGATAATGCATATATTTGTTATTTCCCTTTCGCTTCATATATAGTCTTACCCTTGTGATTGTACCACTCTTATACAATACATCCTTGTTTTTTTTTGTTTTTTTATCAGGTCATTTCTTACGATTCCTCTCCCTAGATATATGTTTACTCTCATTACTTCGCACACAGATTACCTTACACGGGGCTGCTGCGTCCTACTTTTTATTTCGTTTCATTTTAAAAAGAACACCGGTTATTTTAAATGATTACCTGAGTTGGGTGGAGTTGGCGTCAGCGGCGGAGGACTTTCCTGGACGAGGTGGACCAGGCCGGGCCCCTTGCTCAAAACGGGACCCTGGAGGACCAGGTTCCGCTGGACGAGGATCGGCCTGTTCTGAACAAGGCTCACGACTTTCTGTTCCCCGCTTTCACCATCGCCAACCGTTTCGAGGAGAATACCTGAGAAATGAAGAATAATCAGCAGAAAAATTAACTGTACTTCATTGTATGTTTATACGTAAAAGACCTCAGAAGCGCTCATTTCTAAATAATAACGCAACCACTTTGTTGAAAGAATATTACCTACTTCAAAAGCCATAGTTCCAATAGATGGCATTACAGATTCGAGTTGAAACATGAGACTTCACAAAATTGTAAAAAAATGGGAATACCCAACGGGACCAAAAACTCCCTTTGTCAAGAAATTTACAATTTATTTGAACACAGAATGCAAGAAGTATTAGAAGAAAAACAATAGTATTAGAAACAAAACCAAATATTAGGCTGACACACCTTATCTCGTTATCACGCCTTATACGTTTTAAAGATTGGCGTACTTACCAATCACGGGTTCTTGCTTCACGCCATCATCAGTGAGAAACTGTATCAGAAAACTTCTTAGGATGGTTAATAGCTATCTCTATTAAAGAATTAAACTAATTTAACATGGTTTCATCTACTCGTAGACAAACTAGCAACAACATCGCTTTTTCGCCTATTTGAGTAAAAGTTTTTAACTGAAGATGGCGTGTAGCAAAAACACGATCAAGTCAACGTTCATGTTCACTCACTCGGAGACCAATCGAACATCTTAAAAAACGGCAAAATTTTGTCCTCTAGAGAAACAGGTCCTCAGTGAAGAGTGCGTAAAGCAAACATGAGTAAATTACTAGCTTGATTAAATTACAGCAATCATGCGTTCACCCACTCGCAAACCAACACTATTTTAATAAAAATACTTTTCTTTCAAGAGCTGATATCGTTCTCCAGGATTGAGAGACACACTATCAGAGTCATGGTTAAACCAGAAGGCAAGGTGGAAAGAACTAGTCACACTGTCTATAAGCAATCTAAGAGATTTTCTGAGAAATTTGAGAAGAAGGAGGTTCAAAATGCATAAAGAGATCAGACACTTGTAACTTTGACTGAAAAATTGCAGTTTCCAAAAAAATAACGCAAAATAAAGTAATTCTTGTCTCTCAGTACTTTTTGTATACAAATAAATAAGCAATTTTAAAAGTGCTTGGGGAACATAACCCCACCTTCTAATTTGTATTAGGTTCATCTACTTTCAATTCATCTACTCTCAAAAGTAATCAAGAAGCCAATTTCATCGGCTCAGTTTATTGGCAATCTAGTCATGGCGATAAAGGAAGTCCCATTCCGACGTTACGCACGTCGAAATAGGTGACCAAATTCACACTCCGCCTTGGAAATGGAAAATGGAAAGCACAAGTTTTAACACGGCCGAGTGCACATTACGTCGACGAGGGAAATCATATGTTAAAGATTCTCTCAGAAAGTCTAAACACGTTCAGGTCGTGGGTAATTGACGCCGAGGTGGAAACATCCTATATGCGTTGAGGGGGGAGCTCCGGCGGAAGCGGGCCATCAAACTTTGGAATCCAATTAGAACTTACGCAAATCCCGAGATTGCTGTAGTGTTCCTCCTAGCAGTCACGCTTAGCCCGAATTAATTTCAATTTAGCCCCAAAAGGTTGTTGGAGTTACACAGTTTTCCACTCGAACCGTAACGTGGTAGAAGCGACCATGAAAGAGGAATAACATGACTTTTTCGACAGAGGGCTTAACGACTTCTTACCTTTATTGGCAAAGGCTTATTGGTTTGTCTCTAGTTAAACTCAACCGACGTAAACAATCTGAACTGACAATATGACCAGAATTAAAGAAAACAAAATACCTTTTGACATGTTTTCATTAATGACGTTTGCTTGAAATGGACCTTGTTGCATATGACGTTTGTACCTGTGCGTCTTGAACTGTTGGCGTGTATTCGGACTAAATACACCAAGGGTCTGGTGCTCAGAACGATAAGAATTGCAAAAAAAAAAAAAAAAAAAAAAAAAAAAAAAAAAAAAAAAAAAAAAAAAAAAAAAAAAAAAAAGAACAAAGGATTTCAAAGAAACAACAGCCAAATGTCATTACAAAGACAGAAGAAGACGCCCCAAGTCTCCAAGATAGGAATACACATTAAAAAAGACATCTACAAGCAGAAGAGAAAATAAAAATAAACACGGGATATTTCTCAATGGTGAATCACAGAAGCAAAGCAATGCAAGAAAATTTGCCTAAATTTCTTAATTTTACATAGTAAGCAGTACGACAACATGATTACAACATGGCTCAGTAGACACACGAAAAATATTTGGTATTATCCACTCTATCCTTTTGGGCCGTTCCCAAATTGCCTCCTCCCAAATAAGCCTCCCATCCCTGAGGCATTACCTCTAGAGTTTCTTAACCGAGGTTATCCAGTGGTCTCTATCCTAAATAAGCTCTTCCTTTTCTCCATATATCAATTCTAGAATCCCACAAAGGTCAAGCTTTAAATACATTTTAGAACAGATATAAAAATAAATAGTAATATATTATTTCGAAGGTGAATCACAAAAGAGCCATCAAACTCCAAAACACTGTACATCATCAAACTCCAAATTTATGTACATGCCCTAATTTTACATAGTAGGAAGCAGGACATCAGAATTACAACAGGACACAGGGATCAGAAGACATACAACAAGGACGTAATATCATTTTTTCCTTTCGGACCGTTCCCAATTAGTCTCCCGTCCCAAATAACACACTTCTTCTCTAGACATCATCTCTGGAGCCCCTCAAGGATCAATCTTTAAAGTCACATTCGAACAGAATAAAAATAAACGAGGTGTCAAAGTTGAATCATAGGATCAATCGTCATCTCCTTTTTTAAAATTTTGGGGAATTGTATAGAAAAACATATTGACCTGTATAATAAGGAGCTAAAATTCAGAATTACGAACGACAGTGTACTAAATGGGCATTAGCAGATATCTTAAATTAAGGGGACGATGTGAACACAGAAGTATTGGTGTTGTTTATGTTTACCGTTTGGGTAACTTTGAGTCGCCTACTTTGTTAGGCGGGATAGCAGTTAGGGCGTATCTGGTTGTCAAGAATGACGGGACAGTTCTAACAGATCTGCCACAGACACAAGGAATTCAGTCAATGTCCTTCCAAAGTGGATCGTAAAGCTATTAAAACCATCAACTTTCTTTATTTATTCCAGGCTTTAACATTTTTAGAAATAAATAATATGTTATTGTTAAATGGTTAATTTTGTGTATAATCACCGGATCTAGTATCAGGGGACTGTTTGACGGCGAACGTGCCCAAGTTGAGAGTCTTGAAATCAGCGAGGTCTTGCGAGTCTGGCTTCGAGTTGTCGATGACTCTTATGGTCGCCTTGTGGTTCAGCTGGATAACGCCGTTGTCGACGAGGGCCTGGACAAGCTGCTGAGTGTTGGGCGCGCCCAGCTCCTTCTCGCGTCCTTCTCCGCCTCCATCCTCTCCCTCGGACTTCACCCCTAAAACAAAAAAAACCCTGGTTAGTTTGTCAGGTGTCACGGTACGTTTGTTACGGCCCAATGGCCCTGTTTACAGGACATGGAGGGCCGAGGAAGCGATTTGTAAGACCGTTTTGAAAGTTTGCCAACGATCGGACCGCTCTTTATGCCCCGATCTATACACGACTTCCGGATGTTTAGTGCCGGGTAGGACAAGAGTTGTATACCAGGTCCATAACGGACAGGAAATCTTTGCGTTCAACCTGATCCAAAAGACCTAGGATTTAAACCCCTCTATTTATTCTAAGGATACTTTCGTTCTCTTTACACGTTTTCAATAAATATTTTTTTAAACCACACAATAAAAATCTTCCTGTTCAACTTTTCAGACATATATTTATTACCTCTCAATGAAGCAATAATCTCATAGATTTTGAACATCCTATTTACATAAAATAAAAATAATTGTATCTAAGAAAGATGCCACCTCTTCATAATTAAACATACGTTTTAAAAATTAAATCAAGTAATAAATGTATTTTTAAATTAATTTTAAATGTTCTGTTCCTCCAGATCACCTAGATCCTCATCCATTCATGTCACATTAGCAAGACTAGGCGGACCAGGATAAACGGAAATTACCAACTCCAAACTGATTAAAATTATTATTCTTAATTAAATTGTTGGATCCTGAGGAGCGATGAGGAATGTTGGTTATGCTGTTCCTCTCGGGTAGAAATGTGTGTTTTTTTAGTGACCGGTTGTTTAGCAATTTGTTGGATTCGTGAGGAATGGTCAAGAATGTTGTTATGTTGTTCCTCTCGGGTAGAAATGTATGTTTTTCGGCATTTTTAGCCGCTCCTCACGAAACCAACTAATTACTAAACAACCTGCCACTAAAAAATCGCAATAGTTTATTCTATAAGGCACATTAAGAAAAAATACTAATTATGGAATCGTTGGAGTCTCCTTCGATGATGGTCTCTCTGAAGATGGCAAAACTAGGAGATTAAGTTGGCAAAGGCGAACGAAAGCGATAAAACCATTTAGTACGGTTCATCATTCAACCCACTCCAAAAGGACGTAAAGTTGACAGTTACATGTTTTCTCGGAGGTAATCACAAACATCAATCATCTCAACACCAAAAAGAGCAAGAATAGGCAGACCAAGTTGACCGGAATCGACCAAACTAAGAATTCATTTTAATTAATTGCAATCTAACAAAAAAACCTAATCTTATAAATATCGAAATTCTTTTAAAATAACTAGGCGGTCTGTGATAAAAATTAACTTCCCGCACTAATCAACCGCTGGGATTAATATAGGAAGTAGTTTTTCTTCTTAGTTTTCTTTATTTTTTATTTTTATGGATGGTTTAATTTTTCTTGGGGACCGCGGCAGCCGAGTGGTTAGCGTGAGAGACTCTAGGCTCGTAGACCCCGCGGTCGTGGGTTCGATTCCCACCGTCACCTCGGACCCTTCCCCCAGTACGAATACAAATAAGTAGAGTTCTAGTATTAGCTAATATGTATAGTACATTAAGCCATTTTAAAAAAATATTATTTATAGGAATTTTTTCTCAACCAAAACATTAATCAATTGAAATATATTAATTGGTAAAGCGGACCATGAAAATTAGTGAATTTATTAAGTTTAAATGAAGTATATATTCACTAAAGCTCTCCGTGGCCATTTCATTTGTCGCCGAGAATCAAATAGATTACACGATATTTGAAAAATGGCAAAAAAAGAGGGAAAATTCAAAATGTGGGGTTGAGATGGTAAGTTAGTGCCCGAGGGGATCGAAGTCACGATAGCTCAAGTTGTAGAGCAGCGGCGTATTTAGTCGAAGGTCGTGGGTTCGAATCCCGCTTCTGACACTGACTTTTTTATCTCAACCAAAACCTTAATTAATTGAAAAGAATTTATTTGGTCAAGCGGACCACAAAGCCTAATAAAACTTATTTATAGGCTTTTTTTAAGTTTAAAGTTGGCTAAAGAGATTTTCAAACCTACGACTTTTGGGCATCTCTCCATCTCTTGGAATTGACAGAGAATATCCAATTTTTGAAAAAAATATTTGCACATTTCTTCAACCACCTTCAAAAAAAGCGTATAAATAAGAAATATTAAAGTATTTTAATACAATAAAGTGAAATAATGATCAAAAAATGATATCTAATGAGGTTAGAATGGTCAAATGTTTGATGATTTCGGCCAAACAGCGCAAATCGGCGGATTGAAAATTACCGTTTCACAATTGATAAGTGTGACTATTATTTGTATATTTATTGTAAGGTCCTCCTGATAAAGAGAATTGGCGGTTAGATTTATTTATTATTATTTGAATTGCATGAAATAACCGTTGGTTTTATTATATGAAAAAATCAATCATCCGACATCCATCATGAAATAGGCGGATCGGAAATGATGGTTTTGATCGGACTTGATAATAAATCACGATCGAAGATGATGTCGTTGGAATTCATTTCTCATCTAAATATAAATTAAAACGGGAAAAACATTTAACTGAGCTTGTCTGTCGGCTCATGGTCGGATTTTCTATTTAAGCGAGCCGAGCGTCAAATCCCGAGTTGGTACGGACAAGAATAAAAGGAGAAAAAGCTTTGAAATTGCTTTCCACGGCTAATCCCCGGGAGCGGATCCGCGGTTAATAGAGAGCTTTTTGTCAACTTTTTAATGTCAACCCTCACGCTACGACCCGCGATGTTTATATTACCCGACTGTGGGGACGTTTTACGACTTCTCCCGTCCAAAGCGAATTATGTAAATTGGCCGTGATCAAAGTTGAGCCCTCGTAGAAATATGTAAATAAACCATCCGACTGTTTTCATGTTGCCCGCTTTCTAAATTTAATGTTCGGTTTTTCTTCTTGCCAGTTTCAATTAGTTTTAAACGTACTATAGAACTGCACTCCCCTCGTGAAAATTCTTCCGGTGACGTCCTCCTGATTACTTATTTATAAATGTCATCCTATGAAAGATCACGGCAAGCTAGGGAAAAAGTAATTTTATTTTTTAATTAGGATTACACCTTTTGGTTTTGAATGACTTTTGAACATTAGAAAATTCAACGTTAAACAAATATTAAATTGATAGAAACGTATGGTGCGGATAGTAAAAAATGGAGAAAAATTGATAAAATGGGGAATTGATCGAATGTATTTATATATGCATGGTGAGTTTTCCATCATTTCCCGAAATGAACAATGGACTTCTTTATTTGTGTCCTTAACATTTCACTATAGTTACACAGGGTGGTCCAGCATAAACCCTAAAAAATTGCGTTATAGTACATCCTAAATAGAGTAAAATGCAACAAATTGAACTGTTCTATCTCAATCCGGTCGGAAGTTATTAAGTTTCACGTGTTTTTTTCCAAAAAAATCCCGTTCTTATGCCATAAATTGGCATTTTTTCAAGATCTAGAGCATCCGTTACAATTTTTAACCACGTTTTTGAATTCTGTGTTAAATTTCCTATAAGAATGAACTATTTTAATCTTACATAACCATGTAAGTTTATTAATTCAACCCAAAATTAAAAATTTTTAAAAATAGAAACATTTGATAAATTTCCATAAATACTGTTTTCCACAAACGTATTCGTACAGGTGCCAAAAAACATAAAGCCTCAAAAATCACCTGATCCGGTGGTTTACACCAATTTATTTGTGTAGGTTCGAGGTTATGTTACACTGCTGGAGAGTTCGAGACAAGTTCAATTCTCTTTTATTTTGCCCCAACCCCGCAAACGAAAAAAAAATAATCCACTTTTGTATGCGTTAAATTTACACTTTTGAACCACTTTTTTTTTAACGTTCCAGGTTGATTTTACCATTAATTAAGGTTTTTAGTTGAGATGAAAAACCATTGATTGATTTTACCGTTGAAGTGTTGACGTTTTTGGAACTTCGACTACACCACAAGAAAGGTTATTAAATAAAGAACTTTTCACGATGTTTGATACTTGATATTTGTTGAAAAACAGTTATTCTTGGAAATTTATGAAAAGTTTCTCTTTTACAAAAATTCTTCATTTTGGGTAGAATTATAACCGCCTTTGATAAGATTAAAAATAGCTCCTTCTTTAAGGACAATTGCTTTATTAATTTACTAAATATTGTTTCGAATAGTTTTAAAATAATTAAAGAATGGATGAATACTTATTATCAATCAATATAAAAAAAACTTCTCTGATGTCCTTTGCAATGGCTTGAGACTACAATCACCTACATCTTATCTCACTCTTCACAAAAATTAATGTAAATCATGATGGAAATTGTGAGTGTCTAGTGCTATCTTTTACTACTACATGCAAATATTTAGGAATTCGGTTCGATTGCAATATGAAATTTAAAATGCATGTAGAAACTCTCACCAAAAGTATTCGTAAATTATTTTATAAATTCAAAATATTGAGAAATATTCTTAATCCTTACACTCAAAAAACTGTGTATTTTGCTTTATGCCAATCATTATTTCAATAACGTGTGATAGTATGGAGCAATACCAGTAAAAAACTATCACATAAGGTTTGAGTTGCTCAAAAGATCGTAATTAAAATTATACTAAATGTGCATCCAAGATTCTGAAGAATTGTTCAAAAAATTTGATGTCTTTAATGTAAAAAAAAATTTTGTATTTGGCGCATGCATTCATACATTTAATGTTAAAACACATAGCTATAATTTGCATGTGTATCTTACTCGTTTATCTAAAAAATCAAAAATTGTCTTGCCAATTAAAGTCAATTTTTATGACTTTAGTAATGTTAATAAATTCAAAAATTATTTAATGAAGTCATTTGTAATATTTAACGTTCTTCTCTTATTTTGTTACAATATGTAAAAAAAATTGTTGTTCCAATCATCAGTTTGTAGAAATTTTAACTGTAATTTTTTATCTGCTCATATCATGTCCTCACTTATGAATATTGTTTTGTTTTGCATGTGTATCCTACTCGTTTATCTAAAAAATCAAAAATTGTCTTGCCTAAAA